TCCATCTAAATGTTCCAAATGAAAGGTGCCGGTGACACCTTAGCCTTGAACCGAACGAATTCATATCTGCAAAACAGAGAAACAAAAAAGGATTAAATTTAAAAGATTGCAGAAATAAAAATAACAGAAACGAAAATAAAGAAAAGAAAAGAATGGTTGATCAGATCGAGTGGCGGTAGTTGCAGATTGATTGAACAGCTTGCAGGAACCCCTCCTGACGTGAACTGGGTGTCCTCCCCTTCTACAACCCTTAAACTCCTCAAGAAACTTTAGCTTTGTTAACTAGGTGAATTTACCATCCCCTTCTCCAAGGCCCCTGGGGTCCTTTTTATAGAGAAGGGTGGATATAAGTGGAATTAGAGAGAAAATGGGGGTAGTATGTGGGTTTTAGCAAAATTATGGGTGCTCTAGGGTTTCTAATGAATGGCTAAGATGGTTTTGAGGTGATCCTATGGCTGAAAATAAAAGGAGAAGGGACCCAAGATTATGTAGGGCTGAGATTTGGGCACTCAGAAATGGAGGGTGTAGATTAGAACATCTAGGGTTGAAGGGTTAAGATTAAAAGAATAGGCGGTGCCCTAGATTGAATGGTTAGGATATAAGATGGAGGGAATGGATGGGATTTAATGGTGGGGAGATGAATGATGAGGATTAGAAGTTAGGTGGATCCTAAGGTTAGAATGCTAAAAAGAGAGTGCCCTAGAATGGATGGTGGAGATTAGAAGGGATGGAAGGTGAGGATTTAGCAGTTAGGGGTGGCTAGGGTTTGTTAAGAGTGAAAAGAATGGGTTAAAAGGCGCCCTAGGGTTTGCTAAGGCGTGGGGAGCATGCTAATACAGTAGGAGGGGCGCCAAACTGGGTTTAGCAACTAGGAGGCACCCTCCTTGTTTTCAGTTTTTCACAAAAACACCCCATCTCTCAGCTGGACTTCACACCAGCTTCCCAAAATCTACATTTCAGCCATGAAAACTTCCCAGTTTTGCACATAATTTGCACAAGGACCCTCAGAGGTCACAACATTGAAATTAACTGGGAAAAGGACACAATTTGACTAATCTAAGGTCAAAAATACCCCTGAATTGATGCCCTTAAGGCATCAAAATGCAGAGTTATCAGCGACTATAATATGTGCCTACTCCCAGGCTTCTTCTAGTAGGTCTAAGTTTGCTCTAAGTGTTTCACTATTCTTGGCTTCGTTGTACGCTTCGGTTCCAAGCGTTGGCTGGCCGATCTCTGCTGGGATAACTGCTTATGTACCGTAGGTCAGGACGAACGAGGTCTATCCCATGGCCGTCCAAGGTGTGGTTTGGTATGCCTAGAGGACACTACTTACCTCATCAGCCCATAGGCCTTTGGCTCGGTCTAGTCTAGTCATCAGTCTATCTAAGATGGTTATGTAGGTGACCTTGGCTAGGCCATTTGTTTGGGGTAGCCCACCAAGTTGTACTGCTACTTAATGCTGAAGGACGCACACCACTCCCAAAACTTGGCATCGTCAAATTTCCTCCTGTTGTCGGTGACTAGCATGTGGGGAAAGTCGAAGCGGCAAATAATGTTCTTCCAAAAGAAGCACTGAACTGCTCGAGCTATGGTGGTAGCCAGGGATTCTGCTTCTACCCACTTGGTGAAATAGTCCACAACGACGACGAGGTATTTCCTATCCCCCGTTGCTTGAGGAAAGGGGCCGAGGAGGTCCATCCCCCATTCGGCAAAGGCCTAGGGGCTGCTGAGAGCCGAGAGGGTGGTGGCTCGATGATGGCATAAGTTGGCATATCTCTGGCATTGGTCACACTTCCATACCAACTTGGCTATGTCTTTGTGAAGGGTCGGCCAAAAGTACCATAGCCTTAGTGTTTTTTGGGATAGGGCTCGGCCACCGAGGTGGTTATAGCAGATGCCTTCGTGAATTTCTCAAAGCACATACTCGCCATCCTCCTAACGGAGGCATCAAAGGTAAGGCATGGCAAAGGATTTTCTATATAACTTTCCCTCTAGCAAGGTGTAGTGGGCTGCCTGGTGTCGGAGTCGCTAGCTTCGTTCCTGTCATCGGGCAGTCATTCTGTCAGTAGGAAGCCGATGATGGGATTCATCCATGATGGTTCAGCTTCTACTGGAAGTACTTGGACTTCTTCTACAGAGGGACGAACTAGCTTCTCCACGCGGACAGTGCAATCGAGGGCTGCGTCGAAGGTGCTTGCCAACTTAGAAAGGGCATCGGCTCTTGCATTCTCAACTCGCAGGACCTGCTACAAGGAGAAGTGCTAGAAGTGGTGGGCTAATTCTTGAACTTTGGCATGGTACTTGGACATGCTTTTCTCTCTGGCCTCGTACTCGCCATTGACTTGATTCACTACCAATTGCTAATCGTTGAAGGCTTCGACATATAAGGAGTCGAGGTCCCTGGCAAGCTGCATACCAGTGAGGAGGGCCTTGTACTCAACTTCGTTATTGGATGCGGGAAAGTCGAACCTTAGCGCATACTCTACGACTACGTTGTCTGGGGTGAGGAGGATGAGGCATGCTCCGCTTCCTTTGGCGTTGGATGAACCGTCAACAAAGAGTGTCCACTTGGGATGAGTCCCCTCGGTCGGATGGTCCCCTTTGGCATCTTCGGGGGCTCGACTGAAAGTGCATTTTGCTATGTAGTTTGCTAGGGCTTGTGCTTTGATAGCGGGCCTCGGCTGGTACTGTATGTCAAATTCAGACAGCTTGATGGTCCATTTGGTCAAGCGCCCTGAGGTCTTGGGTTTGGTGAGGACATCCCTAAGGGGCTGGTTTGTCAGGACCACTATAGTGTGAGCTTGAAAGTACGGCCTGATCTTTCTAGCCGAGAGCACGAAGGCAAAGGCCAATTTCTCCACTTTGAGATATCTGGTTTCAGCGTCGTAGAGGACCTTGCTGATGTAGTATATCAGCTTCTGTGTTTCGTCTTCTTTTATCAATACTGAGCTGATTGCCTCATCCCCGGTTGATAGGTTTAGATATAAGGTCTCTCCTGGGGTTGGCCGAGCGAGGAGGGGAGGTGAGGTGAGATAGACCTTTATCTCGTCAATGGTGCGCTAGCATTCTTCCGTCCACTGAAATTCCTTCGACTTTTTGATGGCGTGGAAGAAGGGAAGGCAGTGGTCAGTCGACTTCGACATGAAGCGGTTGAGAGCAACTATCCGGCTAGTGAGTCTTTGAGTCTCCTTCACCGACCGAGGGGATGCCATGTCTAGTATGGCTTGTATATTGTCAAGGTTGGCCTCAATGCCTCTTTAAGTAACAACGAAGCCTAAGAATTTGCCTAAGGTGATGCCGAAGGCACATTTGCTGGGATTAAGCTTCATGTTGAACTTCCGCAAGGTGTCAAAGGTCTCAGTCAGGTCCGAGGTGTGCATCTCGGCTTTCAGACTCTTCACCACCATATCATCCACGTAGGGTTCGACGTTCCTCCCCATCTAATTTTTAAACACCTTGTTGACGAGGCATTGGTAAGTGGCCCTCGCATTCTTGAGGCTGAAGGGCATCACTTTGTAGCAGTAAGTGTCGTGCTCAGTGATGAATGAGGTCTTCTTCTCGTCCTCTGGGTGCATCATTATTTAGTTGTATCCGAATAAGGCATCCATGAAGCTGAGTAGCTCGTACCCTGCAGTGGCACTGACGAGGTGGTCTATTCTCGGCAAAGGAAAATTGTTCTTAGGGCAGGCTCAGTTAAGGTCTGTGAAGTCAATACAGATCCGCCATTTCCCATTAGCTTTGTTTACCAAAACCACATTTGACAACTAGTTAGGGTAGTATACCTCTCGGATGAAGTCGGCGTCAAGTAGCTTACCAACTTCCTCTCCTATGGCCTTCCAATGCTCCGGTGCAAAGTTCATCTTTTTTGGCCGAATTGTCCTAGAGCTCAGGTCCACGCTCAACCTGTGAGTAATGACTGAGGAGTCAATTCTGGGCATGTCAGCGGCAGACCAAGCAAAGACGTCGACATTAATTTTGAGGAAACTTACCAGTTCGGATAGGCTCTCTGGGGGAAGGTTGGACCTAACACAGATTGTCTTCTTGGGCTCGGCCTTGTCTAGGGGATCCGAGACGATGTCCTCGGCTGGTTGGCTCGGCTCGCTAGTTCCTCTCTGAGGTCGAAGCCCTTTAGTGGCAATGCTTCCTTGTTCTTGCCCTTCAGTGCTACCACATAGCACTGGCGGGCTTCTTGCTGGTCCCCACGAACAACTCTGACGCCGTGCTTGGTGGGGAATTTGAGAGCGAGGTGATTCGATGAGGTGGCGGCCCTGAGTGCGTGAAGGGTCGGTCTCCCCATGATTGCATTGTAGGGCGAGCCTATCCTCATGACCAAGAACTCATTTATCCCCGTCACCTACCAAGGCTTGGTCCCTACCGTAACAAGTAGGGTAATTTTTCCCTCCGGTCTGACCACATTATCGAAGAAGCCGACCAATGGAACATCGGCAAGCTGGAGGCGCTCTGGCGCTATCTTCATCTTCTGAAAAGCTTCGTAGAAGAGGATGTCAGTTGAGGAGCCAGTATTGACGAGGATCCTCCTAACTACAAATTTTGCAATGATGGTCGAGATCACCAAAGCGTCATCATGGGGGACTGTTACCCCCTTCAAGTCATCATCCGTGAAGGAGAGGGTTTCTTGCTGCTTCAATTTTTTGGAGGCAGGCCTGTGGATGTTCAAATGCCTGGCGTAGGTCTTGCGGGCCGAGGCCGAGGCACCACCTGAGGTCGTGCCCCCGGCGATGACGTCGATGACGCCAGCTATCTACTGGTGTTATTGCTACTAATGTTGTTGTTGCTGCTGAGAGGATGAGGCACTAGGCTCGCCACCCACGAACTGCTTAAGGTGCCCTCGTTGGATGAGGGACTCTATCTCATTCTTCAGATCATAACAGTCCTCTGCGTCATGGTCGGTGCCATTTTTTGGGATTTCTCCTTTTGGGGTTCCTCTTCATCTTCTCATGCCACTTCATGAACTTCCCCTCTCCGATTTGCATCAATATCTACATCCGGGTGGAGTTGAGTGGCATATATTGGCTGTAAGCCTGGGCCAAGGCCGGTGGTTTCTTGAGGTCCTTGTTGCTGTTGTTGTTGTGGTGGTTGCCTCCGCCCTTCCTCTTCTTCTTAGGGGGCCCGTTGGGGCGCTCGACCTCTCTTTCTTGGTGGTCCCCAGCTGAAGCCTCTTCGGTCGCAATGTATTTTTGGGCTTTCTTGAGGAATTCTAGCTTCGTCTTCAACGGGGTCTTAGCGACCAAGCACTTCAGGGCCGAACCAGAGAGCCCATTGATGGCAGCATGCATGGAGACCATGGGGTTGAGGTCACGGACCTCGAGCTCTTCCTTTTTGTAGCGATCGATGTAGGACCGCAAACTCTCTCCCTGCTTCTGCTTGATAGACATTAGCGAGACGACGCTCTTATAGCATCGTCTGTTGTTGATGAAGCGAGCGAGGAATAGGTTGGCGAACTGCTCCCATGAGCTAATCGACCGAGGCGGGGGGTTGGAGAACCAATGATGGGCGGCTCCTCTGAAGGTGGCTTGGAAAGTTCGGCACGTCAAGACGTCGGAATACCCATAAAGTATCATGAGCGCTCTGAAACTCTCCAGGTGGTCGTCGGGGTCCGAGGTCCCATCGTACATTTCCAGTGTGGGAGCCTTGAAGTGTTGGGGGAGAGGCTCAAAGATGATATCCGGGGTGAAAGCATCCATCCTCCCCGTCGAATATCTCTAGTCAGCCAAGGTGTTAGCTCGTCTCTCTCGAACTTGGCGGAGCTCGTCTTTGATGACCCCAAGCTCACTCGTAGTTCCGCAATCCGAGGGTTGGCCGGGGCTTGCCACCCGTCTCTATCTTCACGGGCACGGTGAGGGTCGGCACGAACTCCGAAATGCTCCGAGGCAGGACCGTGCACCTCCTATTTGGCGCAGCGGGAACCTCGGCCCTTGGCCCTTGGCCCTTGAATGGGCGTTGCGACGGCCGAGGTGCCTGCCCTCATCCTGGGGGTTCTCCCTCCAATGGTGGTGTTGCTCAGAAGGTTGGTTGTCTTCGAACCGTGTCGGCTCTTCCTTCCTTCGATTGGGAGGTCTCTCGTTGCTACGTGGTGGACTGGCAGGTCAGTTGCTGCCAGACTCGATGTGCTCACGTCAGCCCTGGTGATCTGACACCCTGGCGGGGTGGTTGCCTCGGCGCTGTGTTGCATGAGGTATTCTAGATGGTCAAGGACTACCTGAAACTATTCACTCGTGACCAAGTTCTGGAGGTTCCTGGCTCTTCGTACCATGGTGTTTGAAGCTTTAGGAGATCTTGAGTGTGTAGTGTTTCAGGGGATCATCTTAGCGAACCTACCTACAGACAACATCAATTGTTGATGTTCGGTTTGGTCGAGGGCAACAAAGTAATTTCACTCCCAAGCTTCGAAGGAGGGCCAAATGCTTTGAGGGTCCGGGGGAGATGAGTCGAGGCCAAGGTGAGTCGTTCTTTCGGATGCCATAGAAGCCAAGGACTGGTACTGAGAAGGGTGTTCGAGGGAAGACGAGATGTTCCCACTGTAGTGAATCTATGAGGGAGAAAGTGTCAGAGGCCTTGGGTGACTACTCGAGGCAAGGACTCCAACGATCAAGTCAGTATGTGCACTAGGTAAGTGATGAGTCTGGAACCGAAGGGTCCAAACGAGGTCTCAAGTAGCGCTAGGTCCTTAGAGGGGAGAGCACTAGAGATCCAAAAGTTTTGAATCCTTTACCTTGTGGGGAGTGCCTTGCATTTATAGCCGAAGCTGCTAGGGGGTAATTGGGCTCGAATGGTCCAGATGCGAGCCATACAAGGGCCTAACGAGATGTTTTGCCAATGCCACGCGGCACCCTGTGACTGGGGCCGCCTGGTCCACGTCAGGTAACTCTGAGCATCCTCATGGTAAGCCTATGCAAGCGTCCTCCATTTGACACGCGTCAACCTTGTACAAGCCAGCCGAATGCGCCTACAACATAAGGATAGCCCCAAATCTTGATTACCCCAACCCAAAATGGTGGTGATGATATACCAAAACGTGATGGGTGTTCTAAAACCTCCAAAAGGACCAAAACATATGTGAATTCACATCTAGACCTGTTCATGGGCTGGGCTGGGCTTTTGCTCTTCATTAACAAGATTTTTTCAGGCCCGACCTGGGCTGGGCTGGGCTTTTGCTCTTCATTAACAAGATTTTTTCAGGCCCGACCTGGGCTGGGCTGGGCTTTTGCTCTTCATTAACAAGATTTTTTCAGGCCCGACCTGGGCTGGGCTGGGCTTTTGCTCTTCATTAACAGAAAAATTTCAAGCCCAAGCCTGGTCCAACCAATGGGACTACAACTTGGGCTCAAGCCCGACCCTCATAAAAAGCCCGAAGCCCAGGCCCGAGCCCAAAGTCCAACCTAAAGATGAAGATGATTAAAGGAAAACTTAACGAGAGAGAGGACTCACTGCTAGAGAGAAAAATGACCTAGTTCACTAGTGGCACAGGTGCCTAAGTTCACCTCTGAGAGTGAGAATGGGCCCATAGTTCGTCGGTTCCTACGAGTCTAAGAGTGAGAATGAAAACTAAGAAAGTGAGAAAATAGAAGATGAAAACGATGTCAGCCGGAGAGAGAGAAAGAGAGAGAGACCGGAGAGAGAGAGAGAGAGATGACCTAGTTCTTGTGGCGCCGGTCGCCAGTGCTTGAGTTCACAGAGTGAAAATAGTGCGTTTGGGTTCACTGGTTCTGAGAGTGAGAAATTGAGAATGAGAAAAAAAAAGTGAAGATAGAACACTGCTGAAAAGAGGGAAATGGGAAAGGGTTAGGTGGTTTGGGAATTTAGGGTTTAAACTATATAATAGTTGGACTAGGTCGGGCCCAGGCCAGGTTTTCTGACAAATCCCGAACCTGGCCCAAAAAAAATTTTGAGTTGGGCTTTTAGGCCCAAGGTCAAACCCACGGGCTAAAACTCATGTTCAAGCCCAACCGGCCCATGAACAAGTCTATTATAAACCAATGCTTTAAAAAATGACCTGGAACCGTTTTGGCCACCGGTTTCTAGGTTGATTATTCAACCGTTTGGTTCGAATGAATGGCCTATTTTGACAAAAAAATTAAAAAAACAATAATTAAAATAAAAAACGGTCAAAAAACATTAAACAGATCGATGATTTGACTGCCCAAATCAATGGTGATCAATTCAACGGTTTTTAGTAAAAGACTTTGAGGTAAACGGAATTAATTGCTTAAATAATTCCCGGGTCAACCGCGGTTCGAAAGCATTGTTCTAACAACGCAATTAATGAAGCAGCCATTCATAATAGGTTGGGGAAGATGCTGGGGGGCCGTCGATTTCAACTTGTCCATCCAAAATGTGAGCCGGGGTTGGGACGGCGTCTCTTGATCTTGTTAATTTGTTATGCAGTCTTAGTGAGTTTATGAATTTGTTTGGAGTCATAAGTGCCGTGTGGTACTGGTAGCCACCACCAGGCCACTTGATCTTTATTAATTACCTTGAAAGTAGGGTGCATGGTTACCGCAAACGTCCATGTCTATTTGCCTATTCCCCATTAAAATGTTGTTAAATCGCCTATAATCATAGTTAAAAGGTATGGAAGGCTTGGTTGGAATTTGGAAGGTTCAAAATATTGATATGGGCGTATCGGGCGAATCAATATTGTTTTTTTTAGTTTTTATTTATTTTTTTTTCTAAAATCGGTTCAGGGGGCGGTTTAGGTCTCCTCCACCTCCTGAACCGGTCAGACCCTCAATACACCCATTATAAGGGTATATGAAAGGGGTTCCGAAACGATACGTATCAGCTGATACAGGCCGATATGTGTCGATACTTTGAACCTATATATATATATATATATCTGAAAATACAAGAAAAGAGATATAGTAGCCAATGGCAAGTGCCTGCCTGCCAATCGGGGCAGACGATCCCCAGAGCACAAGCAAAAGGGAGAAGAAATAATTCATTAGCAGCAATCCGAGAGAGAATAATATCCATACAGATGATCTTTCTGTTGAGTATGAAATTTAGATTACACATGTGGCTCTTCATGACCAAACCCCACAACCGTACACTCCTCCCCATACTATTACTCGGTCCACCGGGGTCTTGACCATAGAGTTTTTACCAACTCTCTCTCTCTCTCGCCAAGCACATGCAGCCAACAAATAGTGAGTTCTCGCATTTGTTTGATTCAATCAAATCTTGGCCCTCGTTGGATTCTGAAAATTGCCAGTGGTCAGAGAGGGTGGTAAGGCACATATCCTAACGTGCTCTTCACATCAGTAACTATATCGCTGCACCTCATCAAAAGGCTCAGCATCTGATGAGAAATATCTATGGTGGTGGTGGTGGTGATGGGAATAGAATTCTGGTTGTTGTTGTTGTAGTTGTTCCTTGTCTCCACTTCGCTAAAATGCAAATGGTGTGATTTGGGTAAATGACCAACAACTCCACGACTCTCGTGCACATCAGGAATACGAGGGGGAAGGGGAATAAATGGAGGCAGCGAAGGAATGACCTTTTGAAAGTTCTTAGTATTAACATCCATTGCAAGAGAAGATGATGCACCACCACCATCGGCATTACTACCATTGTTGTTGTTGTTGCTACTACTAACCACCACCTGCTCCCCCCTACCACTCTCCTCACCTCCCAACATGAATTTTACACGGGGGCTCTCCCTTGTAACACCACCCATGCCATGCCCTGACTCATCTCCTGACGGCTTCTTTAGACATGACTTCAGCTGGACGGATGGTTGTGTTGGCTGCTGCTTCAGGGCTGCTCTCGGTCTTGGCTCATTCACAGTGTCACTGGCAACCACGGTCCTTGATTGCACTTCATCAGAAGTGACTTCTGCCCGCCACTTCCCAGAATCAGGCATCTCTGGTGTTGGTGCTTCCAACTCCCGCAGGTGATAGTTTACCTTCACATTCCCAAACAGCGAGCTGTTTCTAACAGCATAACTATGTGCTACCTGGGCATGTGACTTGTGCTTGAACACAACCCGACATGTAGAGGACTTCCAAAATACTCGGGTAGCAGAGTGATCAAGAGGTCCAAATCGTGCGAATCGTGCCTTGAGCTCTGGCACTGAGGGCAGCGATGTTCGGGGAGGGAATTTCATCACGAGCATTGTGGGTTCTGCTATCCTTGCAGGTGGTTCTGGCTTCTTTTCATAATCCGGCCTCATCTGCTTGGCCAGAATAGTCGTGCCAGCATCCTTGCCATCTTTGCGTTCTCCTCGTTGCATTTCTTGGGCCTTCTGGCTGCCAGCCTTCTTTTCAGTCATCAACTTCAACTCGTTCAATTTCTTCATCCTCTTTACAGCTATTTCTTCCTGGCGATCAGATAAACTTCGCTTCCGACCAGCTTTTGTTGGATCATCAACTTTAGAAAGGTGTTTTGGCGGTCTAGCAGAAGGCAAGTCCTTCACATCCTCATTAGGAACGGTGCCAGAAGCACCACCACTGGAAGATCTGTTTGTACGAAAATCAGATGTTTCAGCAGACTCAGTAGGAGGAACAAGAATCAAGCTTTTCTGATAAACGAGGGACCGGAACCGAAGGAGAACATGCCGTACAATGGCAGGACCATTCCGTTCAACACCATAAAAGGGATCAAGAGCAAGAGCTAATAGATCACCCACTAACTGTGGAAGTTCAACATCAATGTCCCCAATGTCAATCACTGGTGGTGCCATTGAAGCATCCAAGGGAAAAGGACTACTGACCCCATCAACTTTCTTCTGAGGATCCTCTTGGGGAACCAAACCAATCCCAATGGATTTTCCTGCCGATTTTCTTAATGATTCCGCATCTTTGGAAGTCTTCAAACGCTTAGGTGGATGATCCGTACCAGTCTCCAAGCCTAATTCCTTCTTTTTCTTCTTCTTCTTCTCCCTTACAGTGGATTTCTCAGAAACAGGATATCCACTTGGGCATTTCAGAACATTTACCCTATTAGATGCACCATCACTACCCACCCCAACAGCCCTATCAAGAGGATTGGGACCAAGAGATAATGGATGTGTAACATTGCAACCTACCTGCACTTCCATTGGTTGATGATGATCTTCGAGTGTTGTTGGCATTCTCTGTTTGGGTCGTTCAAGTACTTCAAAAGTGCTGGATAGTTTTGTGTTCTTGTGTTCTGCACTGACCAAACTGGATGGTTCAGAATCACCAATCATGGTACTGGAACAATTGTCTGATCTAATTTTTCCCTTCTCCCGCAAGGCAGATACCTCCTTGTCTTGATAGAACTTCTTATCTTCTGGACCTACTTGCGTTTCAGGAGTATGGCCATATGCAGTAGGCTGAGTTGTAGGAAGACCAGCGGCTAAACTGGTTTGCAAATCAACCTGACTAGTGCTAACTTTCACATCAACTGAACTCAGTTTAGAAACCATTGGTTTCTTATCCAAATTCTCTTCCTGCCCAGATACACCCTGATTCAGAACTGCACCTTCCCCACCTACAATTCCACTTTGGTCCTGTCTTCCAGGGACTTGGGTCTTTGTTGAGACAACTGGAGCTCTCCTTTGTAATACATATTCTCCAGCTCCTAATGTTGATGTTCCGTCCTTGAAAGCTGAAGGCACTAAGAAACTTGCTTGCCCTTGATTTATATGGTAAGCCCTTGCATCATTTGGTTCATCTCTCCGTTTTAGAACATACTTGTCTTTCTTTGATTGATCCTTGACTTTGATGGTCTTTGCAGTGCCCTTTTTTTCACCAAGAGATTCAGCAATCACAAGAGGACCACTCAAAGGAGCTGGAAACAGAAACAAACACACTCGATGAGAGATGCATAATACGCAAATATAGAGTGACATTCATGGTACAAATAGGAATATAGAAATTAAATGTTCTAAACCTACAAAACTGCCACTCGATACAAGCCAAAATTGGATAACAGAAACCATATTAAAGCCGGTTTATCAACTTTTGATTAATTCCCTCTTGAGCATTGGAAAACAGCAATAAAAGGAATAAAATTCTTTTGAGTTGCTCACTTGGATCTGACCATCACAAGCTGGAACCAAACAAACCAGAAGAGGCAACTAAGATAAACACCTACCTTTTTGGAGCTTTCAAAGATAAACACCTACTGAATTTTATGATGAACTAAAAAACAATACCAATAGCCATTACATAAAAGGAAACCATAGAATGTTTGGGTATCCAAAGAGAACATTGTCATACAATGCAAGTCTCTGTTATAAGAAAGACTTGTTCATTTGAAATTTCTCGTGTTAGGAAAATAATAAATTGCAAAAGAGTATCCACCTCCTTCAACAAAACCAATATCTGTGGTAGTATTTTTCCAGGATGTGCATGATGTGCAGTAAGTCAGCAACAAGCTACCTCACTATAGAGGTCCATAATAGTGACTCGATTCCAGGAGCATTCTGTCACTTGCAAAACCACATCTCTAGGTAATTTTGGTATTGGTGACAAGAGTACATTTCTGACTTCAATTGTCATTGCAACTTCTTGGTTGTCAGCTTTTTCTCACATGCAAAGCTTCAACATTTAAGTTGTAGTAGAAAGCCACAATGAATGCAGCTGATATTAAGAGAAGCAAATATCGTTAGCAGTGCAAATGGGAATGGGACTTGATTCGATTCAGATCTACAAACTGTTTGGCCAATGCATTAGCTAAACAAAGAGTGCAATATATTGGGGATACATGTAAGGCAAATGGATCAAAGAGCATAGGTGACTGGAGCTAATGGACCAGCCTAAAATTCTCACAAGGGGAGCTTAGCGCCACTGGTATTTATTAAAAGTTAGGCCTTAGAATTAATAAAACTTGATTGTTACAAACCACAGAAAGAGAAAACAAAAATCCTTGATTTACAGAACAGTAAGTATAAAACAGCATTCCAACTACAGGGCTAAATTATCCAACTAATAAAATGAACACAAAACTGGTCCATAGATAGCATCCATGGATCAAGTTCCAATCAATCCAATGTTAGGCTCTTTTCCATGCAGTGTTTTAAAAGTGCAAGAGCCAATTTGCGCCTGAGGCACACGCCTTTTTAAGCAAGGCGCAAATTACAAAAGAAAAGGTAAAAAATAAAAAAAAAATCAGAAAATTCATAAAAAAATGTCAAAATTTTAAAAAAATGCAAAATTTTCAAAAAATATTAAACAAAATGTTAATATAAACTTCTAAAATTAAAATACATAAACATAACATGTAAAGCGTATCCAAATGAAAATTTAAAAATAAAAGCAAACATATAAAGCATTTTCAAGCATGTAAAACCCACAATCTCTTTTTTCCTTAATTGCATTGCTTCAAATAGCTAATGTGATGTAAAACATATTGCATTCTTGATTCTATGATTCGCCTTTGTACCACGCCCCTCGAGGCAAGCCCGAACAAGTCTATGTTAGGGTCTGAAATTTTTATTTCTCACATAAAAAATAATGATTTTATAACTTTCATTGCCTTTTAAGAAGATATTTTTATTGCAATGAATGAATGAACAACATTAGCAAATAGGGGGTTCTCACCTGTGCGCCTAGGCGCACCTGAGGTGTGCCTTTTAAATCACTGTTTTCATGCAATTTAAAATACAAAAATATAAGCGTGTGATCCCAATTGCTATACCTAACCTGCTATCTGGTACAGTTCCAGCATTAAAATCTTGAGGTAGTCGTTGTCTTTTATCATATCATTAATCTAACAAAAAAAAACAGCTCTGTCTACTAAAGTCCAGTCCTTTCATCAGCATAGGGAACACTAGATTCTTTTTTTTTATCAATCACTATATTATTTTTTTACATATGGGAAAAACACCTAAAGGAGCTAACGAAAAGAGACCATACAACACATGTCCATAAAACAAATGTAAGTTAAGGCCCAAGGAAAATCCCTAACTAAACTAAGAGGAGATAGACAACCCGTGTTAGCTAACCAGGCAGCAGCTTGATTTCCTTCTCTCCAAATGTGAGAATAGGCAATGTGCTTGATTTCCTTCCCTTGTATATTTTTATATAAGGCCTTAAAACCATATATGTCAACCTTCCCAAAATTCATAATTATTGGGAGAACCCAAACTTAGAATATTTTTTAGAACAATGTAATCACTATAAAATAAGAAATTACATGATAAGCTCCTTCTACTTTCTTTGTATAGACACATGATTCATAAATTAAAAGAATTCCTAAGTTGCATGTCAAAATTTTCAATCCCCCACTCTGTTAAAGACCATTGATAAGTCAACAAAAATATCCAATGAAGTGTAAACCTCGAAGATACCATCATTCTTTCATCATTTAAGCCTCCACCCCTAAAACCTACAACCACATCCTTTTTGTTACAGTGAGTGCGTCTTACTTTTCTTAAGAAACCCAAAATCCAACAATATCACATGGCCCTTGGATCTCCACTCGAAAGAACAGTGAGAATTGAAAACAAAACACCAATGAACTAACCAAAATATAAGTATTCAAATAGAGCCTCAAAATATAGGTAACACTTGTATACGAAGAATCAGGAAATTTTATCATAAAATGGTAAACCCAATGAACTAACCAGACGACCAATATTCACAATATTAGATTCTAACATCAAAATCAAAATAAAACCACCAAGTTTGTGTGCATTGAGCAGGAAAACTAAACAATGTAGTAGTTTTCATACTCTTTGGAGCTTGGAAGTCCAAACTGCATCTACCACTATAATAACAATCTCGAGATTGCTAATCTATCAAATTTAGAATCCAGATAAGATCTTTCAGTTCAAAACAAATAGCATGCCATTCCTGAGTCCATCAAGTTAAAATAAATAAATAATAGCATGATAGTTTGAAAAGGCCATCACTTAAGAGAAACTATTCAATTCAAAAGAACCTTAACACCCAATTAGAGGAATCAATGCCCCATGAAGACAGTCCAAAAATTAAAATAGAAGAATAATAAGCGACTAATCTAAAGGATAATCCAGTTAAAAATGAAATATGTTGATCACACAATGGGTGAATGATGCACATGATATTCAGCAATCAGCACAAGTACAAGAGGTCAAACTCCATAGTGGCAGCAAAGCTGAGTTAGGAGATCATAAACAAAACGTGACAACAGCCTCACTCCGATATCACAGAGCAACATAAAGAGGCAAAATCCAGCATATCTTACAGAAAAAGGCAGCTCCACTATATTATTACCCCACTACTGCAGCTATTACTTAATGTACAAAACAGAAATAGCATTTATCTCTAAAAAATGAGTGAAATATTGGCATCTCAGACATGTACTAGAGTAGGAAGCACATAAATGACACCATTAGTCAAGTATGTCTCAAAAAAATTAAGGGCACTGTTTTAGAATGTTAAAGATTGTTGCATTGATCTGCATGAAAACAAAGACATCCTACAGTAACTTTTCATATGCATTCACATCAAGGTCACTTTTCAAGGTTGAAAAATAATTGTAAAGAAAGAAATGTCAGAATAACAAGCAGGAAATATAACACTAATTTATACCTCGAGATGGTACTTTGGCAGGCTGATCCAATAACCCCATCGGATCTCGAGATGGACGTACAGGTTGCATTCCAAATGCCTCAGCATAAGTCGCATCAAACTCCTCAAACACTGCTTTACGGTATGCAAGAACAGTAGCCATGCTCTTAATCCAATCAATACTCCTTTGCTCGGTACTCTGAGGCATCAACGCCAACTTCTGTACAAAAGAAAGTGTGTCCACTGGCTGAAAGCTATCCCTTGCCTTCTTAACTTGCTCCAGTGAATAAACTCCCCCAGGTTCATACCCACCCACATCAACTACAAAGTACCCTGGCAAACTTGCAGGCCGGAAATTGAATGGGTTCCGACAAAAACAAGTCAACCCAAGAGCACGTCTCCTGCTTGCCTCATCAATTGCCTCTTCCACAGCCTTGATGAAGTTACGAGAGTTTGTCTGGCGTGATTTCTCAGCATAATGAGGATCAAAAGGAATGAGCTCTGCTGGGTCAAACCATCCATAACTGCTATCACCAAAGAAAGCAACCAGAATATAACCCTCTCTCTTTGACCGCCGCACTGAAGATGATGCAAATGCTTCATTATAGATATGTCCTGGCCACCATGGATGGGATTTAACCTTACCCCATACCATATCTCCGATTTCAAACCCATAAGGCAATGCCTTCGCTGCTTCTGCTCCCAATGACCCAGGCATCTCAGTTGCAGCGCATCCACAGAGACTAGGATATGAAGAATCAAAATCTGAAACAGGGTTTCCCTCCATGGTTTCTACATCTCCTTTTGTTTCTATAGAAGAAACCCTAGCTCCTTCACCATTCCCAGTCGTTAAATGCTCCATTCCGGTGCCATGAACAGAGAAATAATCATTGCCACCACTAGGTGGTAGATCCTCCGTCTTAACTTCAAAAGGCCCATCGTCAATTACTCTACCGCCTACTCCATAATTGATGTCCGAAGAAATCTTAGCTTCCTCGGATGCTGTCTCTGTCACTTCAGGAATTCCAACATCAGAAACATCAGTCCTGCCACTCGCTACATCCCTACCCGAAGCCCTAACTTCAGATTTGCTCTTCGATTCCCCAAAATCGGCATTCGGAGAAACCCTAGTTTCCCCGGAAACCCTTCCACCATCCCCACTAATAGAATCCCCATTCGAGACATCGATTCGCTGTCGGCTAAGCGTATCGCCTGAAACCCTAGTTTTCTCGGGTGGTTCAACCCCGAAAAAATGCATATCAGCCGCGACATCAGGTTTTCTATCTAATTCGCAGTCGGTGTTCATCACAGATATCATGGCGCAAGATAAATCGAAAACCTATGAAACAAGCGTTTGTATCTTCGAAGCGAAAACCCTTGAGATTCGATACCAGAAGCCATACCTCTTAAACCTAGCTTTCAGACCAGACCTAACCAACAACAGCCATGCATTTCTTGCTTCTCGGGCCGAATAACGCTATTCCAAACCCAAAAAACGCTAACAGATTGGTGAGTTTCAACGATTGTAGTGTGTTTTCCCCTTTCCCGACCTCCTGTCTCCCTCTCCCTCTCCCTCTCCCTCTCCCTCTCCCTCTCTCTCTCTCTCTCTCTCTCTCTCTCTCTCTCTCTCTATCTCCAATCTCGATCGATCGATCCGCAGGGGTCTGAATCTGATAGAACCGGAACGAACAAATCCCACCCGGGCGAGACAGATCGTGTTTTATAGCCTTCTAGGGTTTAACCTCGAATGCCGGTGCGGCGCTTCACAACATAAACGTGTCTTATTGTGTCCGGCCAGTCCGTCGAACCGGGAACGTCGATCTGGTTGATCCGGGTTCGTTGAATTTGGTCTGGGGTCATCAATACAATAAAATCCTTAAATTCATCTCATTATCTCAAGCAAATTCGGCGGAGGACCATGGCACTGGTTCGACCAGTAGTTTTGGTCCCGGACCATGACGAACAGTCGAACACGATGCAACTGCAAACAGACTGGACCTGCTCAAAACTAAGGATGTAAGTGGGTCGGGTTAAGTGTAAGCCCACTGACCCGACCCTGTTGGGTTAGTTTTGGGTCAGTCTCAACTCTCAATAGGCTTTGGGGTTCAAGTTTAGGTGGATCCGCCCTTGTTGACATTGTTGCATCAAAGGTTCAGAACGCTCATGTTTATGGGCTTCTTTTGATTATAAATCTATACTTAATGAGAGTGTGGAATTTTTATTGCACTAAAACATTTACATTTTATCTTTTGGTCTCGCTAATTGTAAAGATAAAAATTTAATTTGAACAACCAATTTTTTCTTCATTCAAATCATTCTCATTAAGTCTTATATTTAATTTATTAATTAAATTGATTTTATTCTTGAATTTGATCTCTCTTTGATTGTAAGGTCATAAAATATAATTTGAACTACTATATATTTCTTTTCATTCAATTTCCTCTCATTAAGTCTTATATTTAAGGTATTAATTTGTATTTTTCCATTGAATTCTTTATTAGTTAATTATATCAAAGAAAAATAAGTGTGACAAAGAATAATTGTTTTTATTAATAATAAAAATAAAATAAAATATAAGTTTAAAACCAACAAAAAAATGGAGTTGTTTCATGTTTGATGACGAGTCAACAATTCAACCTTTTGGATCAACATGTGTCAACTTTTTATGTCATAGCTAAATAATAATAAAAAATAAACAAATGAAAATACACAAGAGTATAAAAAGTACAAAAGAAAATGTGAAAAATATTTGGGCACTTCTCTAATATCAAATATTCATCAATATTAAACAAAAATAAGTATAATAAATAAGAATAGATTTTATATATAAACATAGAAATACAACAACAAAAATTTATCGAAATATTTAGAAACATATTATTTACTATCATCACCGAAAAATATCACATGCAAATAACATGTACACTTACTAGTATATTATATGTGTGACATGTCATGTCAAGTCAAACATGGGATGGAATTAATTTCAAGCTAGTGCAGTAGTGCACCGTTGGCATCCCTACTCAAAACCATTGGTTTTTATTTTGTTTGAAGTGCATTCTCACTTTGCACTAGTACAAATTTACAAATACATATGAGTGCAACTGAGAATAATGCAAGTTTTGGTTCACCTTTGCTTTGAATTTTACTTTTATATGTTTCGAGGGAGCAATTTCTATCTATGTGGCATCCAATAACGCTTATGTGTAATAGAAAACAATAAACAAATATTGCATTGCACTTTGTGTCACAAATTATTATTCTCCCAATGTCCAATGCATATATCCAATACAGATGCAACACCCATACACCATGATAGTGGAATCGCACTTAGTTTGCGTCAGCCTTTTATTTTACTTTCAACTAGGCAAGTTAACAAGATATGGCAATGGACCCCCCCCCCTCCAAAGAAAAAAACAAAACACAAAAAAAAACAAAAAGTTTCAGAATTTACACTCAAGCATTGGATGTAAAAACAAAGTGAACATCAATTCAGGCCTAGAGTTTAGTTTGGATTAGATTGGAGGGAAAAAATCTTCCAGTCATTGGAGTTATGGAATAGCTCAACCTAAAATGGGATTTTAAAGCAGTGTTTTCAACAAGGGTTGCTTGGACAAGTGATTCATCACAAGTGTAATTTGAATAAACATCCTCACCATATGTATGTATGTACGTATACCATATAAAGCAATTACTTGCCTTGGGTTCCGTATATATCATTGAAGTTAAATTCAAATATCATGTTATATATGGTTAATACTTACATGCACACATGTATATCACTATTGACACATTGATCTATGGAAAGAAAAGTAGTTCAACAACAAACTAGGCTTAAACATTGTTTTGAAGTTTTCATTCCATATATTTAATTAGAAAAATAAATAAATAGTTAAAACTAGGATGTTAAATTGAACATCTACTTGTTTTATTATTTATGCCTATCCTTGAAATTTTGAAAGATTATTGTCCATGTGAATTGCATTAAGGCGTAACATGCTTGTAAAGTTGCAATACACTTAATTTGCTAAGTATATAGTTTTTCTTTTTTCTTTTTATGGATGGCAAGTATAAATTATAATGCAAACTTGGTTTTAAAAGGCCTAAGCTTTGAGGTGCGAGGCATACATATTTTGCTTCAAGTTTTTTTTAATCATTGTAGCTGAATGGACTACACAACATGGGGTTGCCCCTCTCTAATACCCAAGCCCCCTAAATCTCGGGTGAAGGTAGGATTCAATCCCAAATAGGGGTGCAAATCGGGTGGGTAGGTCGGGTTTTAGCTCAACTAGGCCCAACCCTAAGGATTGGGCCTAAAGCCTGAGGTCAAGCCCAAACTATTTAGCATAAGCCCATTCTACATTAAAATTTGATGCACTGAGGTTGGGCTTGGGCCCGGGTCGAGCTTGGGTTGATCAATTAGCCCACACTAAAAATTGATATACATGTGTGTGTATGTATGCATGTATGAATATATGTACAGTGTATTAAAAAAGATTCATTTACTAAAACACCCTTATAGTTTCATGGATTTACTAAAACCTACCTTAGTAGTTTGCATTTTATTAAAACACCCCTTATAGTTTGCAATCGATTTACTTAATCAACCTTCCATTAGATGATAGTGGAAAATGACAATTTTGACCTATTGTCCATTCAAATAAATTTAGCCAATAGAAAATAAAAATGAAAATACCATTTTTACCCCTATTAAGACACAAGCAACCACTATTTGGTCAAATCTATTTATTGTATGAAGAAGTGTTACGGGCAAATTTGGAATAAACAATCACGGGCCCATGCCATGCCCTTGAACATTTCTACTCAGTTTATGTGATCATGTTACTATTTTTAATTGGCAAAACAAACACTTCTTAGTGAAAGGTCGATTAAGAAAATAAGTTGCAAACTATAGGGAGTGTTTTAGTTAAATGAAAACTATATAGTATATTTAAGTAAATCCATGAAATTATAGGGGGTGTTGTAGTAAATGACCCTTCAAAATATGCATATATGCATGTATGCATGCAAATATGTATTTACATATGCACATATACAGGTATATAGTCGGGCTAGACTTGGGTTGGGATAAGGTTGGGTCGGGCTCGAGTTGGGTTCAAGCTTACCAACAAGCTATTTAGCACCTTCTTGCCTCATAACTTTGATGCAAGTCATAGGCCTTTATAGGGATGGCAACTAAGCGGGTTAGGGGAGGGTTTGGTAAATTCTAGACCCTACCCGCGTCTCTAAAGCTCTCAACCCTTACCCGCCCCAAAACACGTAACAGATTTGATTTTGAGAATCCCAACCCTCCTTACACATGAAAATGCTAAACACTCCCCAAACCTACCCTCCCTTCATTAAAGGGTAGAGGTGGGTTGGGTTTAGAACCTACATCTAATTTCCTATTATTTATTGCCATATAAGTTATAAATAAGTAAAATAACACAAATAAATAACAATTAGTTGATTAAGCATGTTAAAATCACATAAACTATCAATCATATTTGATGTAAATTTTAAAATATTACTGAATTCAAGACATAGTACATAAAACTTATATGCTTTCCAACAATATGTGAGTCGGGGAGGATCGGGTTTAGCTAAATATCACACCCTACCCATACTCGTACGGGTTGTAGAATCCCAAAACTCGTCCCCACCCCCCAAAACCTATTCTTCAAGCAAAAAAAAAATGGCCCCGTCAGGTAGGGTAGGGGCAAGTACCCACTTGGTAGGGTAGAAACTGCCACCCCTAGGCCCAGAGGCAAAGCCAGAGGGACCTAGGGGAGCCGNCCCCCCCCCATGGTTCAGAAAATCCCCACTATAATATGACTTTCCATGTAAATTTCCCCCTCCCTCCACTCTCCATCTCAATGGTTGCCCCCCTATGGGCCCATCCATACTTCATTTATGTTTTGGCGCCCCTTGTAACAATTTCATAGCTCCACCCCTCCATAGACCTTTATCAAAAGGAATTAAACCTAAACTCTCAAGCCTCATGATGTAAGGAGTAAAAAAGCATAATGCTTAAGAAGCAGTGACATATTGAATTATTTAATACCAAAAAAGTTTACCCAAAAAGCCAATAAAAATAAAAAACTTCATTCATTTTCTATTCATTATTAGTTAAATCAAGTGGGATTTTCTTTTCTTATTATTATAAGCTTTTGGATAAACAACAACCTAACATCATATGCTTGTTATCTTTTCTATATTTTATCCACAATAACATACTATCTACCTTATTTTGCAAAATCACAGAATATGTCCATCTTAGGCCATGTTTGCGAGTGCATAAGTTAAAAAATAAGTGCTTATTCAAATAAATACTTATTTGCATTCAACACCCAACTTTTTCAACTACTTATTTTTTTAAATAAGCACTTACTTTATATTGGGTGGTTGGTAGTTTTTTTCTCTAATAAGCACTTAAATAAACATTTGTGACTATTTTGTCCTTCATTTTCTTTCAAATTTTCAAAATATACCCTTTGAAAGCACTTTTAAGAAAGTACTTTTATGAAAGAATTTTTGCAAAAGCACTTTATAAAAGCACTTTTATAAAAATAATTTTATGAAAGCATTTTTACAAATAAAAGTGCTTTCGTAAAAGTACTTTTGTAGAAGTTCTTTCGTAAAAGTACTTTTGTAGAAGTTCTTTCGTAAAAGTACTTTCATAAAAGTATTTTCACAA